CATAAAAACAGAAATAAAACGAAGTAAAAAACCTCCTCAGTAAGCTTTTCTTCATCAAGATTTTTAAATAGAGAATCATGTTGAATATAATTCACAATGCAGTTCCTGTAAGAAAGAATTATTTCGGCCAGTAATCGATCCTAAACTGACAGGATTATTACATTCCAAATATGTGATTGGATACGGGTTTTCAAGTCATAAACACTGCTCATTTAAAAAACTGCCGAAATGGCCCTCACACTTTTCAACTCTTCCAGCTAGTAAAATGAAGTTTCATAAACAACTCCTTAAACTTCCCTTTACTTTAAGAATTGAAAAAGGAAAATAAATCAATCCCAATAAAGCATTCAGTAGTAAAAAGTTAACCTTAGGTGGAGCGATAGATGGTGCTTGAGAAGAATCTTGACCATCCTGTTCGTCTGGATCAAATTTATAAAGCTCTTCCAAATCGTTAACAGCGAAATGCCGTTCAATTTGCGCTTCATCCACTACCCTCATCGATGTTGACTCTTTAGTAACCTGCCTCTTATATATACGTTCTTCCATAGTCCCCTAAAAACCAGGCAAAATAGAGGTGGAAAATATCAAAGATACGAGAAAAACAAAAAGCATAATCAAGAAAGCACAAAGAATTTGCAAGTAATACCTGAGCAATAAAACGATAAATATATACAGGCTTCGTTTGCCCGAAACGATAGACTCTAAACAGCGACTGTGTGTCGTGTGAAGGGTTCCAACAAGCGTCAAAAATTACAACACGATTCGCTGCGACCATATTTGTTCCAAGAGAACCTGCACGTGTCGATATTAACATCAGACGAGCTCTAAAAATAAAGATCAAAAAAATGTTTAGAGGCGAAAAACTATTGGCATGAAAATATCTGTATAACCTAAGGTTGTCTACGTCATTGAACTTATTTTGCAACTCTTCTCTCTTCGCTGACTGTACTTGACCGTCAATAACCTGGAAAAAACAATTTGACGAAAGAAATCAAGGGTTAAATTCTACCGCTTCAAAAGAAACAAAACGCCTCCTGCTCCAGGCTGTGACCTAGCCATGGTCAGGTGAGATTAATTAGATTGTACAATATAACTAAAAAATTTGTTTTCAAATCCTATTCAAACAATTTTTGAAAACACTCGAAAGAATTAGAAAAGCGATGAGAAAGCAGTTCTAAGCTACAAATAAATATGTTACCAAGTAATCATGGCCTTCCTTCCAGCCCCAAGATTCCGACTGAGCCTTTAGAGCTTCATGTCCGTCAGTGAACCACAAATCATTCTCATCCAAGTAACGCAGCATCCGTTTAAGCAAAGTTAAAGACTCCAAACTTTGTGAGAACACCAAGCTTCAAATTTGAAAATATAAGTATTAAGGCTGCAACATACTAGTCACCGTTCTAAGATCAAAGAAAGTTCTTAATCAAACGCAATTTTGAAAGCTTACATCTTATCCCCAATTTCCTCACATTTCTTGATTATAGCTTGCAAGAGAACAAGCTTTCTTCCAAGACTAAAATCGTTTTCATCTTGTTCATTAACTAATCCCGCGCTTGAGAACCACTCTTGGCATTCTTCAGCACCTGTTAGTCCACTTTCCAAATCGGCATCTTCTCCAGCCAATCGTTTTGATTTTCTGGTAGGGAAAGCATTGTTCTCACTAGTCCCCGTCCCATTCTCACTGCAAAGTGATGAGAAGTAAAAAAATGTATCTCACGACTAAAACAAGGCAAATAACCAGAAGGACAAAGAAATGAACAACATACATCACAACGCTGTCACCATCGCTCTCATCAGTTGAAAGTGAAATATCACCATCATCAATAAAATCGTCAAGCTCATCTTTGCCTTCTTGCAAAATCCTCTAAATCTTTGCATAGTCCGTTGAAGTAACAAAATTAAGGTAGGAATAAGTACATACAAACATAGATAAAAAGTAAATAAAAGTATGAAATTATAGAGACTGGTAGGTACCAGTTAAACCACACAAAAAGAAAGAAGCAATCTAGAACAATATAAGAAAGTCATTCTCTTGAAAAATAGAACAGAAGAAGAAAAATACCCTTCTTTCTTCCTCCTTATTATGTATTATCAGTTGATAAGGATGGGTCCAAATACGCGACAAAACATGATAGTCCATTAAAAGACGTTTCCCTAAACGAATATCATCTTTTCCTATCCCTTCCAAAAATGCACGATAGAGCGCCACTTGTCGAGGTGTCAGTCTGACATTGATAACATACTCTTGCTTCGGTGGCAAAACGTCAGTTAGGAAGTGGTAGTCTTTGCGCTATAAAATGACAGCATCAAGCTAAACGTAAAGTTAAAGAATTCAAGAAAAGGCCTAGGAAAAACCGTACGTCAACAACTTTTTTCAACTGTTCAAACAAAACATGACAACGCCTTTTCATGTGGCGCACGTCCATTGCAGTAGCATCTTTCGTCCTTCCCCTATTTATTATATTTGCAAATCTGTTCGCAAATTCCTTCTTAGTTCCTAGAAGTCCAGGCTTCACAAAATTCACCATGCAGTGATCTAAAGAGAATAAAGGGTTGACGAAAAGAACAACATAATATATTCAAGCACTTGACAAGCAGGACAATATACGTCAACAAAAAAGTTTGTCCTTAGCCTTTAAAACCAAAAACATACAGAAAGTTTTAAAAAATCCAAAGCACTAACATTCCATCAAATTATTCTGAAGCGGTGTTCCAGTAAGGCATATGCGACGCTTTGTGCGTATTTTACTCATACATTTTGTAAGCGCTGATTCATCATTCTTGAGTTTATGGGCTTCATCACAAACAATTATATCTGGGCCTAAGGATAGCAAAACATTAAACTAAGTTTTCAAAAACTGGAGTATAAGTAATTTTAAAAAATTATGCAAAATAACCTGGATCTTGTAAATACTCTCTGAAAGCTGGCTGAAGCTTCGCCAACTTTCTGTTCATTTTTGAGAGCTTCTTCCCAGGGCCTTTCTTTTGCTAAAACCACAAACAGTTCGAAGCACTTTGGAAAATTCTTTGAAAAAATAAAATAAATTACCTGTTTATCTTCATCTCCCTGGGTAAGAATCCTGAACATGTCATAACCTATAACCATGACCGTTGGCTCCTCACCATTATACCAGTTTCTTAGAGCAGTACATCGATCACTATATGACTTGAAAGAGTCCAGTTCCATCACCTGTAACTATTTGGAGAATGAAAATAAAAGACAGTAATAAAGGAGAGAACAGCTGCAAATGGTACTACTACCTTTATAACCTCTAAAGAGTCGTCATCATTTTCTAACCATTTTGCAAATTCTGAGCACCACTGCAGAACCACATTCTTTGGAGCAATCACAAGAGTGCGAGAAATCTTTTTCTTTATTGTAGGATGAGTCAAAATGGTGTGTAAAAATGCGATAACCTAAAGTGCAGACCAGCGAAGTCGGAAATGCATCAGCAACAGAGGATGCGTCAAAAACAAATTAAATGAGTAGAATTACCGCTGAGAAAATGGTGAAAATCATTATCAATAGTCTTTACAAAAAAACCACGCCTTCCCCATTTCTAGTTTCGTATGAACTATTAATATAACTACCTGAAGAGTTTTTCCCAAACCCATACAGTGCGCGAGAATCCCACCACCACCATCCTCTTCCAAACGATCGAGCGATTCTATTGTGCTGTCGTACAAAAATTTTATACCCTCTGCTTGGTGAGGTTTAAGACTTTTTACTAAAGCGGAATGAACTTCAACCGGGCAAGAAGGATCGCTTTTGCTATCCGTATCCAAAACAACTTTTTTAAGAATTATTTTAGATTGGCCACTAGAAAACGAAGTTTCCAAAGTATCGTCTTCCGCAAATTCAATTCCATTGAACTGAAAATAAACAATTAAAAAAAAGGAAGAAAAATGTAAGCAAAAGAAAGAAGATTAAAAAGGGAAAAGTTTCACCTCTTTTTGTTTAGCCTCGAGCCGCTTTCTTCTCTCCTTTTCTGCAATTTCTGCATCGATTGTTTCCTTAGCAAGTTTTTCTTTTGAAATAAATGGCTTCACACCACGTCTTTTTAATTGAAATTCTTCCTCGTCACTCAGCGCATTCTCATCATTCGATGAATCCACATCAATACGAGTCCTCTTACCATGTTTCAATGAGGCAGAAGTTTTTCTGTGAAATACATCAATTTTCTAACCCTACACTCAAGGAAGCAACTTGGTGCAATTAATAAAATGTTTATTCAACCATTATTGAGGCAAAAAGCTACTCATAGTACTAACCGTTTCCTTTTCCTACTATTTGTTTGATGTTTGGTTTCATGAGATTCGTCGCTGTTATCATCAACTTCTTCAATACTTACCCCGCTAGAAATTTCTTCAATATCACTGTCAAATGCAGTAATGCTTTCATGCTCCTCGTCATCCGAACCAGACGAAAAAATCCTTTTCCTTCTTAAACATATGTGTAAAATGAGTTGATTGAAGGCAAAAAATCGTTAAATAAACTAAACAACTACAACATCAATAAAAATATAATAAATACTCAAAGCATCAATTGAAAAAAAAGGAATTTTTCAACTTACTGAAGCAAAGACGTTATGAAAAGTTAGAAAGAATGTTGCGACAAAAACAAGTAAAATACGAAAAAACTTAAATGATGAAAAAAATACAAACTTTTTTAACATCTTATTGTGCTTTCTGCGCTGTCTACTACGTCCCTCATTACACTCTTTCACACTTACGTCTGAATCACTCAAATGAAGTGCGATATCCTCTAAAGCGTCAGTTCTTAACCTTTCAGAGCCCTGAAAGTCTTGCCAGTAACAAACTGAAAAAATATTGAGTACTCACCAACAAAGAAAGCACCGCAGTATCGATGTACTCCCATTTTTTTAAAATAAAAACTGGAAAAAGCTTCAGCTTACTTCGATTCTGTCGCTCTCACTTGTTGACGAAACTTCCTCCTCAGGTTTTCCATCGTCCGGCTTAGTCCTAATAAACCGTTAATTAAAAAACTATCTGTAAAATATCAACTGGAAAGTTACCTTTTACTTTCGGCTGTGCTGAAACCCCTGTCTCGACACACAACAGTTTTCCTTCCCACGTTACTGTTAATTTTTTCGCTATCACTGGAATCTTCTTTCTGCTCAGCAGTAACATCATTACTTGTCTTAAAAAACGATAATTAGAAGGCTGGAAGCTTTAGAAGAACTGTTTTAATAAATGTCTGACTAAAAAACTTGATAAACTTTTAACTACGTACTACTTTGACAGCAATACTAGTATGAGATCCAGATGAATTGTTCCCACTATCACTAAACCTCGCATTTTTCTCACACATATCTTCTTCGTCCACAACTTCATCGACAGTTCGCTCTGCGCGTAACGTTTCTCGACTCTGGTTATCATCTTTCAATGCTGCGGCGCCAACCCGCATAAGAAAGTCCAGTTCGCCATCTTCATTCACATCGTCTGTCACCTCTGAAGAGCTCGAAGGCTTCTTCGTTTTATTTATCTGAAAACTCCAAATAAAGCAAGATGAAGAAATTCAGGCTTCCGCTCGAATATAAATGTCTAAACAAAAGATCATAAAGGACCTTTTTGTTTTCATCTTTACGGATCTTTCTAGGCTTCAATGTATCATTCGTCTCTGTCTCAATATCCTCCTCCGAAATCACACTATAGTCCGAAACTTGGTCATCATTTGGCTCCATTTCCTAACACACCGACATTATTATAACCGGTACGCAAAAATAACAATGACAAGAGGGCGGCGCGATACCGGTGATATAAAATTGAAAAAATACACTAAGGAAAATCAAATGAAGTAATAATAGAAGTAAAACAAAGTCAAATCATTGTCCTAAGCCTAACCTACCTTCTACCCCTGTTTTTCAAATGTAATGTTCTGTAAAAAAACACCTCGTGACCTTTTTACACATTCAACTTCTATGTTTGAAATTTAGAAAGCTTAAGTGATCACTTGTAAGCAAACTTCAAACGCTCCAAGAACTTGCCGACAAATGAAGAAATTCCTTCACATACCAAACACGTTTAAGCTAACCTTAAACTCCTCGTTTCTTTTAAAAAAAGATTCCATTTCTTCATCCGGCACAATGGGGCAAACTATACGTGCCGGTACACAACCAAATTTCTTCAGAGCCTTAAAACAAACAGCTCGTCATTTAGGACATAACGTTCGGAAGAAGCAATTGTTGATGACGCGAAAATGCGGAACAACAATGGATCAAATGACGACAATAAGTATTTTATAAGATCGCAAAAGATCCGAAATTCACACTAGAATACCTGAATATCCAAATCCTTTAACGGTTTTGCTGCAGAAAAAAACCAATCTTTGGAATCGCCCTCAACTACAAAACAGCATCTGAACAAATCTAACTGGTGGAAATAAATAAGAGTTATAAAATACTAAATCTAATTAGGTGGTACGACTTAAGATACTTTTTAACTAAGAAAAGCTACATTAAATGTTCTTAATCCATGGCGATGTTTTCACTACTCCTGAAATTGTCATTACTCTCAAAATGGTAACAAATTGAAAAATTCTTATTGAAAGAAAAAGAAAAAAACTACGACGAATCAGAAGCAGAAAAGAAGAAGACGAAGAAAGGGGAATTTGTGACGAAAACATGGAGGTTAAAATACCTACAATTTTTCTCATCAGCGTCGTTAGAACCTGAAAATCCTGACTGAGGCGCCAATTCCAAAGGAATCTGAAAATAATTCTTTCACCTACTGCAACGAAACTCAGAATTTGCAACATCTCAAAAAATAAACAAATAAATAAAAGCTCCATGACTGTTAGAGACGAAAATTTCTAAACTGTTGGGATTTCCCTATGCTATAAGGGCCGCTTACTGATAAAATCAAATGTTAAGCAATGATATTACATAAGCCATAAAAGAAACAATATATTAATAAAATTTCAAAAAAGCATTCCTGGCCAAAACGGGCTGAAAAGTTCGTAAACAAATCTGGACAGCTGAGCATTTTAAATAAGCCTAAGGGAATCAAATGTCAGAAAACAGACTAATTAAGAAAGGTGAACTCTAAAAACTGGAATTCATTTTCGCATTTTATACCTGATTCCGAAAAAGCTTAAGCAATCGCTAAAAAAATTTCTGTAATTAAAGAATTGTTTAATACTTAAACTGTCGTCCATAGCAACTACAAACACCAAAAAAGGAATGAAGTACCCTTTAAAAAAGTAAAAAGTTCCTACGGTACTTAAGCAACAGAAAAAAACTTGAGCCTAACAGTCAAATAAGGGCTTAAGCTAAGATCAGAATCAAACTGTCTGACGTCTCAGAACAAAATGTTCAAAGATATTTTCAAACACAACTATTCCACAAGCGATTTCGAGGCAGTGGTGAAACTCTATTTTAAGATATCAATAAAAAAAACCGTGCAAAGGGAAAATCAATAGGAATTTAGTACAAAAAAAAAAAAATGCACCGAACTCATATATGAGCGCCATAATTTTTTATCTGTACGTAACCGGCAACAACGAATACATAAAGACAAGATGGAAAGACGTCAACCACCACTACATAACTGCAAGCAGCTTCTTTCTTCTTGTGACACATTTTAAGTAACTAATAAAAGACAGAAAAAATCTATGTCAAAAAAAAATCGCCGAGCAAAAAAATCTAAAAAAACTTTAAACAAATCACAGTTTCTGCAGCAAAAAAAAAGCGTTAAATATCATCAAGAACTGCTTAATACAATCTGTAGTTTCTAAATAAACAGTATCCTCAGGGTGATCCCATTCCTGAAGGTATCTCCACCGCACAACACATCTCAGCGCACAAAAGTATTACACTCCATCTGGCAAGTTGCCGAGACAAAAAAAATTAATTTAACGATAAAGCGCTTTCTTGTCATAAAGCAGTTTCACTAAAATAACTCAGTATTATTAACTGACACTGCAGAACTGAAGTAACAGTTACGTGGCCGCTTTCAAAACAGTTGAACAAAAAAAAGATAAAGACAAAAAGCTCTAAATAATGCAAAGTATAATTTCTTCTACATGCTTAAATATCCAGTTAAATCCTTAAAAATAGCGCTTTAAACGACAAACACAGCATATAAAAAGATAAAGCAGCATTATGTCATATATACCAGAAAAACGCTAATTACAATGAGTGGGTCACAACTATGAACTTTTAAAGCGACATAATCGTTGAAACTTAACTAGTATGCATATTACCATGCTTGGGAAATTATCTAAAGGTGTTCTAAATATCTAGTTTTACAAAATCGTCAAAAATGTCTACCCTAAATTAATGACCACAAATTTAAAACGTTATAAAAACAGTGCCCATCGAAATCAAGCCAAATCGCACAATACCATCTGAACTAACGACCAAGCCCAAAATTTCTTTTCAACTTTAAAGCATGATAAAAACTCCTCTCTACTACCACAAATTCATAATTCAGAACATACTAATCATATTCCGCCCTTCCTGAAAACCCCATGCGTTATCTAGGTTGAGTTGCACTAACACAGAAAACCATGTATTACAGCATTCAAAAATAAATCTTTCACTGAAAACAATGTCAAATCATAACTATTTCTTCTTACATTCGAAACAATTGTGCTGTGCATAAGACTGCTGATTTTTCCAAAAGTTGATGTAGCTTACACATAACATGCGTCTTTATGCCGGCAACAGTTTGAGAAACACCATGTTCCTCAACAGCTCAAAACAGCTAAGAAATTAGACATGTTAGAGAGCTTAGAATTCAGTATGGTAATTTCTACCTTTATGCCCCTAATTAAAATTCTACGCGCTGTTCATTTAACTATTTTCTTCCGAATCTTCATATTTTGGATTTCCAAGTCAAAAACCCTAAACAACCTTCATGCAAGTATCCTCCAAAATTCTAAAAATCACAGTCGAATATTTTCTAATTCCACGGGAAAGTGTAACCGGACTTCATTCGAAAATAAGAAAAAAGAGAACTTTCATCATGACAGCCAGTTACAGTGTAAATTCAAAAGCTAGTAGTACTTTTATAAAATAAAATTCCAACTGTTACATTTACGATCAGGGTTGCTACTATAACAAGATAAAGCCTGTTTAAATAATGCCCAAAGAAAGAAGACTCAAACTAAACGATGAAAGCTAAATTTTAGTGATGTCATGTTTTTTATTAAAAAAATAAGATCGTAAAGATATCTGAATAATTACCAAAAAAAAGAATATTATGAAAACTTCCATTGGTGCGGTGGTTTCACAAAAAAGATTGAAAATGTCACAGCAGAAAGAACAAAGCGTACCGTTTCATCTAACTTGTGAGAAACTGTTCCCGAGGAGGAATCGTCCTCCAACTCATACTTAGCTGAGGACAAACTGCTACCACTGAAAAATGAATGACCGAAAAACAAAAATTACCAAAAAAAGCAGAATGATATCAAACCATAACTAGCTAACAAACTTTGCACGATTCTGTGTTCCATCAGCTGATACTGCAGCTTGGGCCTCCTCCAAACATTCTAATAACGTCGCAAGTTGACGAAGTAATAAACTCCGCTTACTCTGCACAGTCTCTTCAACTATCTCAAACGAGGCGTTTTGACAGGACGTAATCAAATCATTTCGATTCTGAAACAGAACTAAAACATTACTCTGCCAAAACTACCAGCTATCTTATATAATTCAAATAGGTAATGAAGACTGCTGCCCAATTCGTACATTACTTTATCCAACAAGTCAAAAAAGAAAAAAAATTGGAAAAACTTTTTAAAAAAATCAACAAAAGAAATTAGAACCTTTCTAAAAACACGTCGCGATTCTGATACAATGCTCACTAGGTTGTCAATTTGATCAACCAATACCTCAACTGAGCTCAGCATTCAAGAACAAAACCCAACGGCGATTAATGATGATTGTGGGTACAGCTCTAAACAGCAGCCAGCATGCAAACATAACAATACAAGTCTTATGAACCGAGCATGGAAATCAGAGAACAGTATGAAACAGAGTCATGAAATCCATCACAACACAGGAAAAGTTAACGCCAACGACCCGTTAATAACCAGCGTACCGCTCCAACAAGAAATGCAGTTTCATCAACAATAGCGTTACAATCATAAATCTGCCTAGTGTGGTTAGAAGCCGCAAAATAGAGAAATTCGTTTTGTTGGCAACTTGCCAATAATCCAAAATTAAAAATTTTTTCGATGCGGGAGTACGTTTTCGCTCAAACCGCAGCGAACTTCACAAAAGTGGTGTATTTCTTAGATACGACTGGAGAGTTCAAGACTCATTGGATAAGGTATGAGAAATATTGAGTCGTGGTGTTCTTTCATGGAGACTGTGAAAGCCCTAAGACTGACGGTAGCTTGTTGGGTTGAGTGTTAGGCACAAGTACAGTATAGCCATTCCGTTCAACCCTGATAATAAAGTTGGCGACACAACCCAAATCGCTATCTTATTTCTCATTTGCTCGTCGTAAAATCCGACAGGAGGTAAAAAACAGGTACCAGAGGAAGGCCTAGCAATTCCGTTAACTGTTAGGTAGTATATGCAAGAATGTACTCTTTTGAAAACCTTTTTAAGCGCTGGAAGCCATCGAACTTTGCCCTCGACGATGAGGACAATAAAGATATTCCATGACTTTGGTCGTCAAATACTAAATTTTATTCTTTAAAGCCTACATAGTTTACACAAAATGCTCGTTTTTAGCCTCTACTGTTCTTTGCCTTTTATCCTCCAACAACAGCATTTTGACAGTTTTTGCCATGCATCTACTTCGGTTTCTTTATTTCATGCTACTAGAAATAAACTGTGCTATAAATTTGCCGGACGGAAAGTTGCGACAACAACTCTGGCTGCCACTAAAGGATGTTCTAACAGGAGAATCTACCTGTCCTTGTGTTGGTTGGTCTTCTTATCAAGATTCTTCAGCCGTGATGGCACATTTTGTTTCCCAACCGTACTTTAGCAAAGGCTAGATTTAATTATTTCAGTTGTTGTTGTAGAACAAAATGAGGTTCTTTATTTTTAAAATTTAAATTGATGTTTCTTTTTGAAATGATGATGAGGCATCAAGCTTGTGTTTGCTGCGATTCACCGTTTCGCCATCTTTTAAAGCGTGGTAGAGAAAGTGAATGATTAACTATATTTTAGCAATCAAATGCCGGTCTATGGTTTTAACATATTTTGAACTGCGAATGATTTCCGTCTCAATTTCAACAATTTTCTGCTTCTTAATACGCAGGTTATTCCAGTATTGGCTGAAAAATCGACCAGTTAGGGCTTCTAGTTTAAGCCTTTTATGAACTGTTGATGTCGTTGTTTGCGTTTTAGGATTCTGAGAGCTCTGTTTGCCGTTTTCAATTTTTCTTGGATGAGCCTCGTTAGGGATCTTGATAAGCAGCAAACATTCTGGGTTGTTTTGTTCAGCTTCTTGTGTTTTTTTCCAGCATTTTGAAAGCTGAGTGTCCTAGCATTACTGCATAAGAAACGTCAAGCGCAATATTCTTTGAAGATTATGGTCGAAAGCCTGCTGCCCACTCTTTTAAATTAGTTTAGATTTAGAAGTTTTCAACTTGCGGCTGCACGAATTTAGAATTATAAGCAGACCTGTATCTTGTCGAAGCTTGTAAACATTTTTCGTGGAATACTGTGTTTTATAGCTTTTTAGTTTTGTTTTTTTATTTTAATTGGTGCTTTACGAGAGTTTCTAATGGTTTTGCAATTTTGTTTTTTTTTCGATGTTTTCATACTTTTTCTTCAATATTTTTTAATGTAATTTTACAGTTTTTCTAGTATTTTGACTTGTTGAAAATTTCCTTCTTTTTAACCATGTTTTTTGAGTTAAAACAGCAATTTTTTGTTTATTAATGGTGGGCTGCAAAACTGCTTTATACAACTTTGTGGTTTTAAAAGTTACTTTTGTTCTAAAATGCACACTAAAAAGAAAATTAACTGGAAATTTAAAAACAGTTTAAAATGCATGTATTTTAAAAAAAGGAGTTGCGGTGGTGGTTAACCAGTTAAAAGGTTGCGTGTTTCAGGTAATCCTGTATGTACAAAAGATATATATATATATATTTTCAATCACTTTGGCATTTTTCGCTAGTTAATCTTCCTGAACGGACAACGCAAAAGTTTTAAAGTGAATATAATGAATTTTGGGTTTGTTTGAGGAAAAAAATTAGATTTTTTAGTATCCTGTTCATCCCGACATCCGAATTGCTCAATATTTTCATCTACTTCAGAGATTTGCAGTGGTGAAATGTCCCTAATGGAATTCAGAAAATCTTTGAATGAAATCGACTACGATAACTCCCAGAGGCTTGAATTGATTTTATTGCCCCGTCAAAGTATAAAATTTGTTTCTTGTTTTAGAAATACACTGCCGTCGAATTATGATGAATATTGCATAAGTTTTTTTTTTTGTTCTTTCTACAGTTTTACGGTTAATTTTCTTTCGCGCTTCTGACTATCCAAGATAGCGTTGTTGGTGCGCTGCAGTTGAAGAGTTTAAGCTTTAATGTACAAAAGGAGAATTTGGTTAAGAAGATAGGCATTCTAGAAAAAAAAGGCTAGTTGGTCAATTCGCTAAAAAAGAAAAAAAAAGGGAATATTACAGTTGCTAGCAGTATTTAAAAAGTCATCATTCTTGGGTATGAAATTAAGCTGTTTTTGCTGGTTCAGTAGAAAGAGTCATAGTTATAGTGTTGTTCCACTTAAGAGAATCTCATCTCACATTATAAGCATGGTCTGAAGATGGACCTCAAGTTCGTTTCACTGATAAATTGCAGAATCACTGGCAGTCACTAAGTCTCTCGTTTTTGTCGAGACAGCACTTGCATTTTTGAAATAATTATCACATTTATGCTGTAGGAACTTCTGAGACCGATGAAATACACATTTTAATGCAAAATGAAAACACAGGAAAAAAAAAACGAAAATACACATGCTTTGACAAACAAAACGGGTTTAGACGACAAATACCAACAAAGCTTTTTAGTCTTTCTGTTCCCACATCAGTGGTAACTTCTGAATGTTAAAAGGCCCAAGTATTTTTGCTTAACTCTCTGCAAAAGAAGATAGCGATAGCGAAAACTTAAGTTGCTCGGAAGGATTTGCATGTGGCAAAGTAAAACGACCAAAATTTTATTTTTTTTTTCTGACTTGGACGGTTGCATTTCCTTATTTGGATGAACAGTTCCAATGAAAGGGAACTTCAAAGATAAACATTTTTGAAAATTAGTTTTATCTTTTCTAATTTTGATGGGGCCGTTTGCAAAGATGTTTTGATGAAGTTTTGAGAAGTTGTCGAAAGATCAAAAGCAGCTTGAGCAGCGAAAAATGGACTCGAATTTTGAGAAGCTATAAAAACTAATTGAGCTCATTTTTTCCAAGGGTTCTTCCGAGAAAAATTTGGAGTGTGGAAGTGATGAGGTCATAAACGACGTTGTCTTGTCTCTAAATATTTGTCAGATTTTATGAATTATTGCATAAAGTGAAGAATAGGAATGTTTAACGCGTTTTGCTTCCTTTAGTCACTAATTTTTTTCTACTTCCCTAGCGTAGATCAAATTAAAATAGGATATTTCTAGTTGGTTACTTCAAACTGCGATTTTTCCCGTCGGCAATGGCAGATGGAGAAGAAGAAGTGGGTCTAGTTTTTCGAAATTTAAAGATTTATGCATTCAGAAGCATGAAATGTGCTTAGGTTGTAAGTGCTTTTTTGTTGCCTCTTAATTGCGTAAATTGCATCTGGTATTTTGTTTACTTTTGACCATATCTTTATTAGCATCATAGAAGACTAAATACGAAATTCCTTTCTCGATCATCGTCCCATTTTGGGTGGTAGGATAGTCGACTCCGTAATTCTTCCCATTTTTGCCTTCTCCTGTAAAAGATATTTTTCAATTCCCGATATAGTTTATAAAAGTTGTATTTAAGACAATATCGGTAAAATATCGGTAAATCATAGCTTCAGTGTTTTACACTTACAGCATCTGCATATGTGTAATTACAATGGAATCGTCATCAGAGACAGAATCGCTGGCGTCCGACGGATAACGGTCTTCGCGGAACGCATTTGGAGTTGAAGATTCTGATATACTGGTTCTGGTGTCGACATCGTTGTCAGACCATGATTCCTCTGTGCTGAAAGCAGAGCAATTACAGACTACTCCAGAACTCTTCTCCAATAATTTTCTTGGGTAAATTAGGTTTAGAAGCATTTGCAGTCATTTACCTGAGTCATTTTTTTTAAATAGTGCTGAAAGAGTAAAACAATTTTTTGAGAAGGCTGTTTTTTTTTATACGGTAAACTTTAAGCACTGGCAAATCTCTGAGGATCTCTAAGCAGATGACTGATTAATTGTTTAAGTTTGTAGATTTAAAATGTTACCTGGAAGTGTTTTGATACTTTTTAGGTAGCATATCGTCATCCTCTTTTCTTTTTGATTTTACACTACTTTTGGCCTTTAAGCGCTTTTTTTGCATTCTTCCTCTTCTTTTCAGCAACTTTTTTTTAACAGTCATACTAACTTGTTTTAAATGCAAAAAATTGCAAAATTTTCCTCTATCGCATTCTCTGAAAAATTTCTGTGATTACACTGTAGCATCTTGAAAGATTGCAACCCACTTTTAAAAATCGTTTTTTTGCTTCTTCTATTCTATTTGCCTTTCCAAGTTACCTATTAATGCTTTTTTTGTCCTTTATTTGAATGTGTGATTCAGTTAAGAGAATTTGAACAACTTTTGAAACCTATCAGAACTTAGCAGATACGAATACTTAAGAATTTATAAAGCAGTGCATTCAAAAATAGAAATTTCAAGTAATTATTAATATAATAAAATACAAAGATAAAGCAGCCAAAAGGGTTTTACCATTTAGTTAAAATTGTATATTTTCTGTAATTAATACAAGATTATATTAAACATTATTTCACTAAGCAAAGCTCTTGATTTTTATGTAGTTTCTCAAAGTAGAAAGTTTGTATTTTCTAAGGAAAAGCTGGTTTGTATACATTACGACTGGTCTTACGAACAGTATTTATGAACAGTGTAACATTAAAATCTTGCATAAAAACTAAACCTAGATTAGTTGAGACGGGAAAGCATAATTTTCAGATAATTTTAGCTTTTAAAACAGATCTATACAGACTTCCTCAACTATTTTATTTTTTACGGATAGATAAAATTATCTTTTAAACTCTATTTACTGCATCCGGAACAGCTAAGGTACTTGAGATTTGGAGAGTGTAATGTGTTTGAATCCTAAAACATAATTTTAACGACAGACAGTTCCTCAGTTTGAGACCCTTACTGCTTGTGTATATTTTGTTATTCAATTCTTAGCGCTCAGCATTAAGTTTTTTGCTGTTTAGGCAAGGTGTAGAAGACGACCTTTAAGCTCAATTAATCTTTTCCGCTTATAAAATAGAAACGGCGGTTTTTTGGAACTACAGGTGAAAAATCTTGTTTATATAAAAGAGCAGCAGCAAAAAAGTGAAAATAGTTACAGTTAAGGTGCTGTTTTTTGTTGAAAAGTGTGGCTGTGGCTTTAAGAATAAGTATTTCTTGAAGTCTAACGCTAAATCATCACCATAAAATGACAAGTTAGTCA